GAGAGAGAGAGAGAGAGAGAGAGAGTGTGTATGTGTGTGTGTGTGTGTTGTGGTGATGTCACGGTGGGTATTTTTACACCCGCTCTATAAATAACGGTTCACTCCTCGTGTCGTCACGGCGGAGGGTCTTTTCTTCTCCTTCGGGTCTCAGGTTGAGTCACAGAATATATAACCCAGGACAGACTCCCGGATCCTCAGACAGTCAGAGGTGAGGCGAGCAGCTCAACTAGCGCTGACTAACACTAACTAAACTAAACTAGCTACTGACCTGTCATCAGCTCGCGCTGTTTTGCATGTTATTGGAGTTTTAAAGCATAATTGATTTAATAAAGTCGCTTTCAGCAGTTTAACAGACTTTCTGTGTTGGTTCAGATCTCTGAGAGGATGAGCGTCGGCTGCGACACGAGCGTCAGGCGGATTCTCCGCGCGTCTCAACGCTTCAGGTCAGTCAAAGCGGTCACGACTGTGTTGCTCTGCATGTTAGGCTGATGTTACACCGGGCAACTTTCTCATTGAGGATGGGCAACACATTTCCATCTGGATGCTTTAGATCGGTCTGTCTCACCTGGTTGCTCGTTGACGGCAACATTGCCCAAAAAGTTGCCCCGTATATCATCAGCCTTAGTTTAGTGTGTGCTGCACCTGTACTGAGAGACAGTGAGCTTTAGGTGTGTGTGTGTGTGTGTGTGTGTGTGAGAGACGCAGAGCTCCATCCAGGACTCCTCTTTATAAGGAGTTTCTCATTCATGGAGACCCTATAAAAGCGCATCTCTCACAGGCTCAGTGTCATTCATCCTGACTAACACAATGTCTGCTGCAGGTCCACTAAAGGGGCGTCCAAAGCCCGGCGAGACCACATCAATGGAGAGATCCGGAACATGCGGGCGCTGCTGCCCATCTCAGCTGAAGACCAGGAGCGTCTGTCCTACCTGCACTCCATGTCCCTCATCTGCACCTACGTCAGGAAGAGCGTGCTCCTCAAAGGTAAAGACGATCGCACTCGTGCAGATCTGTGTTCAGCAGGGTCTGAATTGGTCTGAATCAGTGCACTGTGGTCTTGATGGGTGCAGGAGTTCAGCAGGACGCGGCTGGAGCTTCTCCTCTGTGGGAGAGTTTTCTGCAAGCGCTGCCTGGATTTATTGTGGCTTTGACCAGAGACGGAAAACTGGTCTATGTGTCTGAAAACGTGTCCGAATATCTCGGCCTGTCGATGGTGAGTGAAACGGCTTCTGTTCTGTTTCATGTGCACACACATTTATCCTTTTATATTAGTGATCATTATAATCATTTTGACCCACACTTGATTTTCAAACTGCTTGGATTATTATATTGGGTCATAAATGTGCATGCAGAGTTTCGACACATAGATGTGTTTTTGAAAAGGCTGAACAAATTTTGACCTCCATTGGTTTTCAATTGCCAAAAATCAGTCAGGTTACTGCAGCCTGCCAAACCCTAAAATGTGAAAATACATATGAAATACAAAATATGAAATGCATGAGAACTTGTGTTTAAGTTTAAGACTCAAAGCTTACTTGAAATTGAAAACTTGTCTGATTGTCTGAATCTCTTTATGTAGTTGAGTTTTACAGTCAAAAAATAGCACAACAAAAATAGCTTTGTTGAAACGAATGAATACATTTCTCATGTTTTATATTTTGAAGTCTCTGACCAGCTACAATAGAGGTTTTCTGTTTTTACTGGAGTCATTTTTCATAGTGTCGATTATTGCATGGAAACCACTGTGTACCCAGTATTTAAACACCACCTGAGCGGTTTGTATTGTTTTGTAGGTCGATGTCCTTCAGGGAGACACTTTCTATGATATGATGGACAGTCGTGATGCAGAAGCGGTGAAAGTTGTTTTGAGAGAGCAGGACGTCTCCGCAGGTGAGTGTGGTGCTCTGTCTCTCCGTGTCGTGTCATGTGATGTCCAGATCAGCTCTAATGTCGTGTGTCTCTCAGAGCGCAGCTTCGTGTGCCGCATGCACAGCTCCAAAGCGCTCCGGCTCCAGTACAGCAGCTGCTGCTCCATGCTGGTGAGGGGGCGATTCCGGGACGACCCGCCGGACGCCGCTCTGTTTGTGGCCCTCTGTACGCCCACAGTCAACAGACTGAAGGACAGCGAGCTCCTGAGGGCCTCCACCTGCTTCCAGACGCTGCACAGACCGGACATGAGGCTCACTCACGCCCCCTACAGGTACAAACATACTGCTCCCATCTCACATTACAAAGCTGATGTACCAATAACATGCATTTCTTCTAGAGAGGATTGATTTGACTGGAGGACAGAATGTGGGAGCTTTTAATTGGTATTATGTAATGAATGATTGTTGACTGAGCTGAAATATGTTTCCACAGTGTCTTGTTCCACCTGGGTTTCTCAGCAGAGGAGCTGATTGGTCGATCGTGGTACGAGCTCCTGCATCCGGATGACCTCACGCTCGCCGCCCGCTGCCATCACACACTCAGTGAGTCAACGCAAATATACACATCTGTGGAAACGTTTGGGCTCGGTGAAAAATTAATACTTTTATTCATCAAGGACGCATTAAACTGATGAAAAGTGTCAGTAAAGACATTTATAATGTTACAGTAGATTTCTATTTCAAATAAATGCTGTTCTTTTGAACTTTCTATTCATCTGTGAATCCTGAAAAATAAAATGTATCACAGTTTCCACAAAAATATTAATGTTTTCAACATTGATAATAATCAGTTTCTCGAGCAGCAAATCAGCATATTAGAATGATTTCTGAAGATCATGTGACACTGAAGACTGGAGTAATGATGCTGAAAATACAGCTGCGCATCACAGAAATACATTACATTTGCTGTTTTAAATTGTAATAATATTTCACATTTCTTTACTGTATTTTTGATAAAATAAATGAGCAGAAACATTAATAAAATCTTACTGACCCCAAACTTTTGACCGGTCGTGCAGATACCTGTAAAAACTCTTGATTGAACTGATGTACTGACACACACTTGTTGTTTGACAGCTGGAGATGACGGCGCTGCAGACGGAGAGATGCTGGTCCGACTGCTGTGTAAGGATCTGTCGTGGATCTGGCTCTTCGTATGTGCGACTATAGACAGAGCCGGAGAAGTGATCACCTGCACCAATCACGTCATCAGGTGAACATCTTTTCATTCGTCTCTCTTCAGCAGTGACTGAGTTCTCACTTTTGCTCAAACAGCATGTGAAATTTTTCTCGTCCGCAGTGAAGCGGAGGCGGTGTATCTCAAAGACAAACTCTCTCAGCGTCCCGTCCTCTCAGCTCAGAGACCGAGAGAGCGCGAGCTGCTCAGGAGAAGCTCCGAGACCAGCGACTGCTCCGGCGGCACAGACGGGGAGCTCAGGAGCGCCTCGCTCGCGGTCAGAGAGCAGCCGGCCTTCTCCACACCGCCCTACAGCCCCACTTCCTCCCACTCCTCTGACTTCCTGTCTGACGGCTACGGTGCACTCGAGCAGCTGGCGGATGGGTTCTGTCCGTCTCAGGCGCTCTCTGACCCGTCCTGCACCGTTCCTCCCGTCTGTCTGCTCGACGCTCACCTCGTCCCCGTCTTCCGGCCCGCGCTGGACGTCTGTGAGGCTGCGGCAGACTGTGTTCTGCATCCGGAGGTCTTCGGCGTGTTTCCTCTTCCTCATGAGGGCGATCTGCTCACGCCCGAGGCCTCGCCCACCGCTGACGGACACTTCCTCTACAGCGAGACGGAGCGGGCCGAGATCGGGACTCTGGCCCGTCAGATCCGCTCTCTGGCCAGCAGCTTCGACGCCTACAGCACGCCACGCCACCTGCAGCCTGACGGCGCCCTCTGCTGGCCTCCTGAGTCGCTGCTGGACCAGACCGTCATAGACAGCATCCTGAGAGACCTGGTCTCGGCCAAAGAGCCGGACTGCGTCTGGAGCCGGAGTGCAGTCGGAGTGTTCTCAGCGGAGCACAGCATCAGCGTGCAGCAGTGTGTGTACGGCGGCGATCAGACGGCGCTTTGATGAGCACGAACGCTGACGGATCAATACATGAAAGACTGAAGTCCGTCACTTACACTAGTAACCCAGTATGGCATATTGCCATGGCAACCAGTGGCTGGAGATGTGATGAGGTTTGGTGGGAACCGGTTTCTCATCTTTTTTCGAGAATTATTTATACACCTGCAGTGTTTTATGAATGTGAAGAATCAGTCAGAGTGTCTCTTTCTGAACATTTACCAACAGTCGTTCTGTTCCTTGTGTTGCTAGTGGCTCGGTAGCATGTAAATGTAGTTTTTGTAAACGACTCGATAATAAGCTACTATGCACTTACTCATATGACAAAAACAGCGAGATCCTGAAGCAAGAGCGATGAACTGAAGCTACCTCATGAAGCGAATGCGATCACTCCAAACACTCGTTCTGTTGTGTCGCTGTGTATTTATTTTCTGTGGTTTATGTTAGATTTGTAGATCATTCGAGTATGAATGTAATGTTATGTGAAAGTTTCTCTTGCGGCGTCAGCGTCACTGAATCTCTGCCTTATGTTTGCGGTCTCTGTGGTTCTCACGTCAGGGTTATCTATAATGTTTAGAGCAAACATGTACAAAACAAACAGTTTATTTATATATTCTTGCTCTTTGTTTCTATTTTTGTATGTAAAGTCAATAAAGTTGCTAAGATAACTAAAACTGGGGTCTGTTTAGTCATAAGTGACACCCACCCTCATTGAAAGTTTCTCTTGCGGCGTCAGCGTCACTGAATCTCTGCCTTATGTTTGCGGTCTCTGGTTCTCACGTCAGGGTTATCTATAATGTTTAGAGCAAACATGTACAAAACAAACAGTTTATTTATATATTCTTGCTCTTTGTTTCTATTTTTGTATGTAAAGTCAATAAAGTTGCTAAGATAACTAAAACTGGGGTCTGTTTAGTCATAAGTGACACCCACCCTCATCCTGCTACCATGTGTGAGTGTGTGTGAGTGTGTGTGTGTGTGTGTGTGTGAGTGAGTGAGTGAGTGAGTGTGTGTGTGTGAGTGTGTCTGTGTGTGCGTGTATGTGAGTGTGTGTGTGAGTGTGTGTGTGTGTGAGTGTCTGTGAATGTGTGTG